TAGTAATATTTTTTGATAGTTAGATAATGTCTGTAGTAATATTTTTTGATAGTTAGATAATGTCTGTAGTAATATTTTTTGATAGTTAGATAATGTCTGTAGTAATATTTTGATAGTTAGATAATGTCTGTAGTAATATTTTTTGATAGTTAGATAATGTCTGTAGTAATATTTTTTGATAGTTAGGTAATGTCTGTAGTAATATTTTTTGATAGTTAGATAATGTCTGTAGTAATATTTTTTGATAGTTAGATAATGTCTGTAGTAATATTTTTTGATAGTTAGATAATGTCTGTAGTAATATTTTTTGATAGTTAGATAATGTCTGTAGTAAACAGACATTATCTAACTATCAAAAATAGTGTACATGGCCTATCTTATTTTAGGAGCTTTGCACAAGTAGGGGTATAAAGCTCCAGAAATCAGGTGCATTTCTACTTTTTTCATATGTTAAACTCCATACTTCAGAAAAGGATGGTAAATAAATTAGATAAGAGGAAAGACCTGGAGAAGAAATGTTACAATTCTCGTACTAGGGAATATTGAGGATATATTTCAACATTTCTTTATATAATCAAGAAATTAAAACTTTTATAATATTAAAATTTGATTTATTAGCTATGTTTTGATGCTAAGCTAATTAGTTTACATTAAAAATAAAGTAGCTTAATGAAATTTTGAATGTAACTCTGTAAAAGGTCATGATATGCACATTTTGACGTACCGTAGCGAGAGGGTTAAATGTCTTCACTTTTTGAAATTATAACTTAGATAATATAAAAATTATAATTATAAACTTCATTTTCATATGAAGTTTATTTACATACATTGATAATAAAATTGTTTGATTAAATCTTGAAATTTATTGTATAAAAGGTAATGACATGCACACTTTCATCCAGCTCAATTATAAGGGCTATCTATGCTCTGCCCACAAGGGATATCAAAACTCGGTTTCTAGCAGTATAGCTCCACAGACACACCACTGTGACACTGGGGGGGCAGGTTAAAGTTATAATCAATTTTATGTTAAGACTTGTATTGGTGAATCCTACTAAATAAAGCCTAAAATGTAGACATTTATCTCAGAAATTACAATTTCTACTTTTTATGAAATTTAGATGCAAAACAATTCTTATATGTATACAAATATAAATCTTTTCTCCTAAATGTTGTTAGAACTAGTCTCTCACATCTATTTAAATTCACGTAAAAACACTTTTTGGAAAACTTATGTCAAGTAAAATCTGTAAGACCTAAAATATTACTACAGACATTATCTAACTATCAAAAAATATTACTACAGACATTATCTAACTATCGAAAAATATTACTTTTTTAGGGGGGATTTTACATGACAAGGGAGGGGATAAAAAAAAGGATCCTGAAATAGGGCTACCACTGCCAAGAACTGACTGACTCTACAATCACAACTTTTTGCAAGGTAACAAGAAACTTTCCGACATTTAGCCCTTGTGCATTGTTGGACAATTTCCAGTTAACAAACCAAAAATAACTGTGATCAAGCCAGCAAATTCACAAATAAATAGCTTGTTAAATGTAATTATTTTACAATCTGATTTGCAACCACAACTAGTGTGAGAAATGATAGAAGTCACTGGAGCTACCTAATCCAGATTGGAGAAACACAGAAAAGAATTTGCTTAAAATCAACTCCAGATATTAAATTACTTATTAAAATAGTTAATTAAATTTAGTGTCATATTCTCTGCACATCACTTTGTTAAGTATAAAGCAACTTGGGTCCACTTTTCATAGTTATGACATGGGCATAGCTTGATTGGGAACTTTATGATGGAGACATGGTGGGCCTGCAGTTGTTTTGCTTGTATTTCCCCCTATATAATGTTGCAGCATGAAGGACCTGCACACTAGCAAATAACACGTAGGTGACCAATGGTAAAATTCCGTTTACTAGTGGTGAGCAGATAAGGGTATTTATTAAGATCTGTTTGAGATGACCATAATTTGTTGTATGTAATTTAGCCTCTAGGATTGATTCTGCCTTGTGTGGAGACTATTGGGTTAGATCAGGATCCACGAGGGCTTTGTTTATATTGAAACAGACCACAAGAAATTGAGAAATTTATATTATAAAAAGGCAACATAAAGTTAAGATCATGTGTAATAAAAACAAAAATGAGTTGAAAAACATGTTGAGTTTAATTTATATTTAGATAATTACCATGCCATATTGTTGATTTGTTTACAGTTTTCCTTTTTCTCCAGATTTTCTATCAGTTTACATCTTTCCTAACACCAGGAGTAATATACCACTGTGATCTAACGAAAGAGAACTTAGAACCAAAGGTTTGTGTTTTTTATTTACTTGCACTTTTTGTGAATGGAAGATTATTTTTTTTTACCTCATATTATTCATTATTTGTTTACAAATTATTATTTGTGAAATAACTAAAATTATATATATATTTATTTTTTTGAGATGTTAACAAAAAGTAAATTGTTTTTGTAATTGATAGTTGGCTCGCAAACTCTTTGAAGAGCAAAACTATAGTTTATTGACGAAAAGCAGTTAAGTAAATTTTAACCAAAATTATTCCTATAAGGGTATTAAATCTGACTAAATGACTTATTGAAATTACACTTTTTTATTTTCAGGCAATAAAACGGATGTATTATAGTAATTTGTGATATTAATTGTTAAATCATACTCTCATTTTCACATCGGAGAATGGCTGTAACTAGTTCCGTAGCAGTTGGTAAGATGATCTATGAAAATGGTGCCCATTGGTGTAGACACAGAAGCAATATTCCCATACTTTGACAGTACACAAATTCTAATAACTTGTTACTTTGTGTAAGGAATCTGAATTTTCATAGTATATCCAATTACCATTTTAAATTCTGATTGACTGCTACTCATTCACCAAACTGTACAAATGCAGCTTTTATTGGATTTTAAATAATATTTTTAATACAGAAATTACAAAAACAACTAGGCTGAGGGGGCTTAAAATTAATGTTAACAAATTGATGGGTTAGGGTTGGGATTTTGTCTGTTCAAATGTAGTAGGCATTAGAAAATAATTGCCTGTGTTCATTTAAGAAGGAAGGTTTGCAAGTATTTACAATTGAGTATCAGTACACCTGAGATGCATACACTTCAGTCATTTACTTTTATACTGCAAAACTCTTGAGTACAAAAAAACTACTATAATTGTGATTAAAAGGATATTTTATTGGAAATGACATTTCAGTTTTGTAACACCTGTTTCAGCTGCATGGCATACTCCGGCTTAGTATCAGGAAATGGAAAAAGCACTGGCAGATCTGAGAGAGAAAATGCATCTCCCTACCCCCATGCGATCTATCTTATTATTCTTCAAATTCACATTTAATTCTTTTGCATTTCATATTTTAATAACCTGTATACTAGAATCTGTGTGTATGTGTTTAATTTTTTTACTCCTTATTTTTATTTTGTTTTCTGCTTGGCATAATCCTTAATTTTCATGTTAACACCTAAACTTGCTGGCAGATGATAGTAGAGCACAAGTGTGAAAGGTATGAAAATGGATAGATATTTGAGAAGACAATTGTAGACTGATTAGAGTTAAATGATAGGTTGCATATTATTGATGGTGAAGAGGTGATTGTAAATCATTGGAGAAAGAGGTTGGAATACCCAGGAATATAATCCTTCAAACTTTACAGCTGATTTTTCCAACATCATTACTCCATACTATTATCATAGGGATAAGCTTTATGCTAAGTTTCAGAATACAAAATTGTCTTTGTTAGTCTTGCTTGTAGCACTGTTTGTTGACATTGATATGAAAAAATTAATGCTTACTAACATTTTGGTGCATGTGCTTTTCTTCTCATTTCCCATATGGGTGTGAAATTTTAAAATTAATTGTTTCTTATTGTGAAAGTCTTTGTGACTAATTGGTTTTAACCTGATGTATTTACTTTCCTTAATTGTTAATTATGTTTAGTTAATAATTCAATTGATTTCTAGAATAATACAAAGGAATTCCAATTGCAGACATCGAAATATACAAATCCACTTTTCTTAGGCCTAACAATGGTTTAGCTTTCATTAAGTATGGCTTATATTCAATAAAAGAGATAAATTAACAAAGTAATTTGTGTACATTTTTTGCTTTAGTGTAGTTAGGGCTAAACTTTACTGTACTCAATACTATCAATAAATAGACTTATAGTGTTATTCTATAACCTCATGTTAGACCAGACCACCTTTTTAAAAACTTTTAAGTTTTTAATATATTGATGTACAAAATGTCTACTAAAGTATGTTTACATCTGTTGAAATGAAGTTCACAAGCATGCAAATTTTGATTATAAGAAGTGCAGGCATTTTCAGGATAAATGAAAACTATTATTGTAATAGATACTTTGAATAATTTGTTGCCCTTGTTACTTGCCATTTAAATTTGTCAAAAACGTTTTTTTATGCATAAGATATTCTCAATTATATTGATGATATCTTGTTACTTATAAATCCTCAGTTAATCATTGTTTTTAACAGTGATTAATATACACAGCCTACCAATATGCAACTAGAGAATCTTGAAAATACTAATCTGTCATCTTCAGTGACATCATATGAAAATATACCTAACTTAAAAATGTAGATTTAATTTGATAAAGACCATAAAATGCAAATTTATATGCCACAAATGAAAGAATCCCAGTAATTAACTATGTTTTCATGAGGTCACATAATTTATCTTTTAAAGTCGTATAAAAATTGCGAGCTCATAGTGAATAGGGTGTTAATGCAGTTTTATTCATGTCAGAAAACGACAGTTTCTGCATGGCTCAAAACTAACAGAATGGAATTAACATGCAATGAAGAATGATCCTTGTCAAAAGGCTTCTATGCTTGCCAAAACCAATAGAATGAAGTCAACATGCAGTGAGGAAAAGTGTATAGAATTACCCATATCAAAAGGCCTCTACTATTTAATTTTTACTTCAGTACCATCAGAAGTTATTTTCATAACATTGTTTTTAATAGTAAAGTAGATGAAGTCACCCCTTACTCCAGGCAATATTGCATGTATACACCAATGGGCATCACACCTTTCTGACTTTTAGAACACTGAAATTTGTTTCTTTCGAAGCCAGATTTTCACAGTTTTCTGACAGTGGACACACCTGTGTGTGTGATATCTCTGTGGTTGAACCATCTGAAAGCCACAACAAAATATGATGGTAATTTTGAGTCACAAAACAATTGCTTGAAGGTCAGAGCATTACCACTGTCCAGTGGCCAAGTCAGTCACTGGATATAATCTCTGTTGATCATACGTGGTCCCTCCTTGATTGTCCACCATTAGGGACATCCTCATCCAATTTATTTGCCAGATCTTGGGATGCACTTTCACAGGCCCAGATTTTGGATATTGTAAATACAAAGAGTAACCATATTCTGCCTTAACTATTGCCTAGAGCAGATCTACTGAATAGTGGAAGTAATCTTGTACCTTTTCATTCTTGTTTATTGAATAAAATGTTATTCCTTTTCTAGTTGGTGTCTATTTATCTATTAGTAGGCTGTGTCTATAAACCTATAGTAATAAGAAAATATTTATCAGATTAAATGGTCCTAGTCTTTTGCCAAGAATACACATTTTTTATGTGTATAAATGTAATTAGTGTTTAACAACATCTGAGTTAATTGCTGTTCACTGAATGGTATTAAATGTTGTTTCTGTAGGTATTTCGTGAAATCAAACTCCCAGGATTTGATGCCTCTCTATTTTCTACCAATCAAGTATTTTATCCTAGTAAGGATGGGACTAACATACCAATGTTTATTGTGCACCGAAAGGTAATATTTTTACTGTTTCAAGCACTAGAAACATTAAAAAGTACAGTAGCTGCTTCACATATATCTAATTACATATAACATTTTCAAAACATTTTTTTTGGCTTCTGGCTTCCAAATTTTTGAAAATACTGAAATTATACTAAATATATTATAACCACACACACAAATGACAAAGGAACTATGTCTAGAAACAACCTCTAAAGTCAATCAGCTAAGATGAGCCTATGGGTATTGCCAGTCTTCTTTAATTGTAGGCAGATATTTCTAAAAACTTTCTTACTGACATAGTTTCAATTCTTTTTCAAATTATGAAAGAAAATGAAATGTCAAAAATAAAGGATTTGGGTAGGATTTCTTAAACCTCAAATTGTTAACTTATTTATATAATGTTCTCTACTGGTGAGGTTTACATATCATATTGCATAATTTCAGGTTTCCGATATGGTACATTAACTCCACTCACATAAATAGCTATTCTTATTTAGTGCTGCCCTCTGTATGCAAAAAAAAACAAATACACATCCCACAACCCTTCTATCTTCCCTCCATTGGAAATGGCTGATTCCAATGTGTGTCTCATGCAAATCATCAAGCATCAATCCTCCACCAATAGGAGTGTGACGTATTCTCATAACTCATGTGATTCCCTCTATTCCCTTTTACCTAGCTATCACTTCTCTTTTTGCAGTACTCTTGTTTAGACGTTTTCTGCTTTTGGTGTTTCTCATGTGCATTGCACTCATAAATTTAATAGTTTCAATTTTGAAGTGGGATTTCTTTATTAATTTTTTATCATTCTATTGAAGATGCCTTTTACTTTAACTTAATTTCCCAGTTTGGGGTATCAGTTTGGTGCACTGCCCTTGGGTCTTGCTTCGGCCCAGTATGTTTTTTATTGGGTGGTCAGAGCATTTGCTTGTCACCTACCTGCTCTTGAGTTGCGCTTTGATCATTATATGGACGACTGGTTACTGTTAGCTCATTTTGAACAGGAGTATGTCCATTCTACTCATTATTTACTCCTGGAGCTGGCTTGAGTGGGCTGGTTAATCAAATTGGAGAAGTCATTCCTTCAGTCTACCCAATATCTTGTCTGTTTAGGTGTTTTTTTCAACACCCATCTCAGTCAGGCCCAACCTTCTCCTTTTTGACTTTGTTCTATGGAGCTTTCAGTTCTCCATGCTCTTACTGCTCCCTCTATTACAGCTCGCAAGGTTCTCTCACTTTTGGGGATGTGGTCTTCCATGACTGCACTTTCCCCTTAGGTCATGCTCATATGCAATCTCTTAAGTGGGCTCTTCACAACTAGTGGAATCTTGCACGGGATCCTTTGCAGTCTCTTATTATCCTTCCTCTTACCCTTGTGGACAATCTACAATGGTAGTTGGACAAGACTTGCACATCAGTGAGTGTCCTCTTCCTCCTCCTCATTCAAATTTACACATTTTCATGGAGTAGGGGTGTTTGGGTTGATCAACAGGAAGCTTCAGGGTATTAGTCATTGGGCAAGAGCTCTTATCATATCAACATCCTGGAGCTTCTCACAGTATATTGGGCTTTGTTTCATTTCCTCCATCTGGCCAGAAATCGTCTGGTCATGGTCCATTTCAACAATTCTACAGTGGTTGCTTATCTCAGTCACCAGGGTGGCTCCCATTCTCAATTCCTCTGTATTCAGACATTGGATCTTCTTTTTTGGGCTCACATGCAAGATATTCATATCATTGCATGTTATGTTCCGGGTGCTGTCAATCTTGTTACAGATTGGTATTCCCATCCAGACAAAATCTATCCAACATAGTGGTCTCTCGATCCTCTTGTTTTCTGATGGCTTTGCATTCAATGGGGTACTCCACGCATAGATGCTATTGCTACGTCATTCAACCACAAATTACTTCTCTTTTGGTCTCCAGTCCCTCTTCTTCTTGCTCTGGATGTCGATGCTTTCAGCAGGATTGGACCACCAAATACCTATGTGTTTATCCTCCCATTTGATCTCTTCACCAGGTTATTTTGATCATCCATACCACTCTGTGCCAAGAACTTCTGATTGCTCTTTACTAGGTGGCTCAACCATGGTTTCCACAGCTTCATTTCTGGCTTGTTCCATTCGGCCTTCATCCATGAAATTTTATCGATGTAAATGGAATGTTTTCCACAGTTGATCTAGGGGTTGAGGATTTTCTGCTGATCAACCCACTTGTTCTTGTGTTGTGGATTTTTTTATCAGGGGACTTCTGTCCCACACCTTTCATTTTTCCAAATATTGTAGGGTATTTACCTTTCCTACACTTTCCATGTTTATACATTCCTTCTGGATTTGTTGTCCACCACAGCAGGCTACCCTTTCAGACTGGAACATTAATATAGTCCTTCACTGCCTCACTTTGTCTCTGTTTGTACCACTTTCCACGTGTTCCTTGTTTCACCTTTCCCTTAAGACTTATTTCTTTTTCATCTTAGCCTGTGAATGTCAGAGGTCTGATTTGTGTGCCATTGATGTTTCATGTGCTCTATATGATCCTTATGATCCTACATATAATCTCTTTTATCCAGATCGTTCTTTCCTCTCCAAAACTTTGGTGGCTAGGGAGGGCAATTCCTCCTTTTCACCGATTTCTCTTCCTTCCATATCCCACCTTTATCCTCGGCCTGATCCAGATAGACTTTTATGTCTTGTACGTGCTCTTTGCTGTTATATTGCTTGCACAGCTTCCTTCTGTGGTGTGGGTTCCCACCTATTTATTCTTTGGTAGCTTTTTTCTGTTTGTGATCTTTCTCCTTCCACCCTCACCAATTGGATTTGGCTTTTGATTCGATTGGCTTATTCATTTACATTGTCCTCCCATACTTTGTTTCAGGTGTCTTCTCATAAAATTTGACACCTTACCTTTTCTTTGGCATCTCATCATTGTTGTTGATTGGAGGAAATTCTTCAATCGGGCATGTTGACTATTCGTAATAAGTTTGTCTTTCATTATTTGCATAGGATTGCAGTTTCTTCCTCTTCGGGCTATCATCTTCCACCTGTAGTCATTCTTCAGACTTCAGTGAGACTTTGACTGGGTAAATTTTGTTTTATTATTTTCTTTTCAGGGGCCTTATTTCCTTTTTTCTTATTATAACATCTTGTTTGGATCCTGTTCTGTGGCAAGTGGTGCCTGATCAGGTATTCTCTAACTTTCAAATCCACACTGTCAAGCCATGTCGACTTGCATTTTATAATTCCATGGCCATGCATTGCATACTGCAGAGATGAGGTGTTACACAAGATAGTTTCTAGGTTTATCCTTGTGATACAATTGCTTCATAAGTTTGCCCGTCTGGGACTGTACCCACCCATGGACTACATAGGTAAAGCAGAAGGGTACAGCTGCCCATCCCTGTCATGACTTTTATTGCATAAATTGGTATGGTCTGCTTTTAAAAATAAGGTTTTATGGTCACCCATTTCACCGTCTTGGGTATTATGTTCCTCTGGACTCTACATGGAATTTACCCCCTTTTTTCCTAGTGGAGTTTGAGAGTCTTTACCACTTTCCATTTCCAAGCCACTGGGATGGTGGACTGTGAAGACATCCTCCTGAATGGGTTAATGAAATACAAAAAATTATAGAAATGATTATAAAACCATTCAGTTGAGAGTAGAGTAGTGGTTTTCTGCTGGTGTAGATGATGTGATATCCTCCACTATGAAATTTAAAAACAAATAGGAGTGAGACATCAAAATTGCAGTTCACCTCTTTGATTGGAATCTCTCATCCTACCCCTACATGGATGTCAGTTCCCAGTGGCAGGGTTTTGGATTTAGAAGTAGAACCAATCTACATAAGTTTTCACAGATCTATTACAGGTGTCTATATTCCTCACTCTTTTGTACTCCATCAGTGTTGTGAGTCACAGTGCATTTATTCCTCACTCTTTTGTACTCCATCAGTGTTGTGAGTCACAGTGCAAGTCATTTCAGATCGTTATGGTTCTTTCCCTTCCATTATCCCTCAGTGTTTCTTACGAGAATGTTAATGTGTTTGGGATGGTTCCGGTCAATTTCGCATTAGAGGGAGTTGTTTTACATGATGTAGACATCTTTTCAATACTGGATGTTGGGTTCCCGGATCAATTTATCATATGCACATGTGCCCCGTTCTTGAGTCAGGGGTACTGTATTCCTTCCAGTCTCATAAACTTTAGGTGAAGATAGTATGTTCCTCTTTACTACCTCACATGGATATTTGTTCCTGGTGGCCTGGGTTTCGGATTGTAGTTGACTTACTGCAGGTATGATCCTTATCCTACCTCTGCATGGATGTTGGTTACAAGTGGCATGGGTTTTGAATGTAGTTTGAATGTAGTCCATTGCACCTTAGCCACTCTACACCTAGGGGTACATCCATTTTATTTTACCCACTTTCATACTTTCTGGGATTGAGTTTAATCAATATTGCATGGTTCGGATCACTTTCCGGCCATCGTTCTCTCCCACTTGGATGTGCTTCTCTTTTTTTTTTTGTCTATATATGCAACATCTTTCTAAGATTGGCAAAGAGTATGCCTGGTTCAGAAGAGGTGCAGTTCCCGAAATCAGATCTTCAAATCTGATTGTCTCTTCTTAGGGAGTGTCTGTGGATGATTTTGAAGTATACTTCTTTCTTTCCCTCACACCAGTCCCTCCACCTATTCAATGCGGGATTCTAGCTATTTATGTGAGTGAGGTAATGTGCCATATCATTATAATTTTCCTACACTGAAAATGTATTTCTTTTCACACTTTCCACTCTTCCTCCTCACTGAAAACCATTGCTTCCATCTTCTGCCAAAACATAAAGTGATAATTAGGTAGAAGGGAATAGAGGAAGTTGCAAGCATCATGAGAGTATATCGCACTCCTATTGGTGAATGATTGACGCATGATGATTTACATGAGACACACATTTGAATCAGCCAATTCTAATGGAGGGGAGATAGAAGGCTTATGGCATGAGTAAAATATTTTTTTGCAT